AGTGCTTTGCCTGACACTGGGTTAAATGACACCAAGGAGGGCAGCTGCTAATTTCTTGCAAGTTTTGTAAGAAACTCGTGCTGAAAACTAGCTGCAGAGAATAGAGGACCCATATCAAAAAACTGAAGAAGCAGCCAGTAAGAAATCTGACTTTTACAGGATCTTACTGCTACTGCTGTTTAATTTAGTACGTGTAATTTGAGTAGAGTCCTCCTGTTTGATTTGGACACCTTGATTTGAAAATGGCTGCAGTGGTGTAAATATATAATATTTGGGAAATGTGTATCCATGTTGTACTTTATGTGGTTGTATTGTATGTTATTTATGGTTAAATGTCTTTGCAAGGTGCCATATTGTGGTACATTTTGTAAGACTACCCTTTCAAGTGTACAGTTACACTTGACAATCACACCACCACCACCGTGTCTGGCTGTCAGTATGATGGTCTGAGCTGATCTCACAGCAGCTGTAGCCATGTTGTCTGGTCTGAATGAGCCACATCTTCTCTCTGCTTTGCTCTGTTTCTAGACTCTTCAACAACAACATCCTCAACAGAATTCCTTATAAGGAAAACAGGAAGTTTGACATTTGGGGAAGCAGCTGTTGGTCAGCTGGTCATGTAACCAACAGGAAGTCCCTGTCTCCTCAGTATCCTCAGGCTGCTAACACTGTGGCTATGTCTAAACATCTGCCTTATCCCCTATTTAGAGCACTATATANCAGATCTTCTCCTTCTAGATTCTCTGCTAAAGCTCTGAATTCATGGTTCTATCAATTGAAGCATCAAAGCAGCACCAGATCATCACAATTGCACTGACCTGCTGATTGGTGGCAGCCCAGGGTGGGGCTTTTAGTGTGCACACCTGAAGTGCTTTGCCTGACACTGGGTTAAATGACACCAAGGAGGGCAGCTGCTAATTTCTTGCAAGTTTTGTAAGAAACTCGTGCTGAAAACTAGCTGCAGAGAATAGAGGACCCATATCAAAAAACTGAAGAAGCAGCCAGTAAGAAATCTGACTTTTACAGGATCTTACTGCTACTGCTGTTTAATTTAGTACGTGTAATTTGAGTAGAGTCCTCCTGTTTGATTTGGACACCTTGATTTGAAAATGGCTGCAGTGGTGTAAATATATAATATTTGGGAAATGTGTATCCATGTTGTACTTTATGTGGTTGTATTGTATGTTATTTATGGTTAAATGTCTTTGCAAGGTGCCATATTGTGGTACATTTTGTAAGACTACCCTTTCAAGTGTACAGTTACACTTGACAATCACACCACCACCACCGTGTCTGGCTGTCAGTATGATGGTCTGAGCTGATCTCACAGCAGCTGTAGCCATGTTGTCTGGTCTGAATGAGCCACATCTTCTCTCTGCTTTGCTCTGTTTCTAGACTCTTCAACAACAACATCCTCAACAGAATTCCTTATAAGGAAAACAGGAAGTTTGACATTTGGGGAAGCAGCTGTTGGTCAGCTGGTCATGTAACCAACAGGAAGTCCCTGTCTCCTCAGTATCCTCAGGCTGCTAACACTGTGGCTATGTCTAAACATCTGCCTTATCCCCTATTTAGAGCACTATATATGGGTGCATTGATGGACACTAGACGAGCAGATACATTCCCAGAATGCTTCCCAAGAGCTCTTCTCGCAAAGCATCATGGAGTTTGTTTTTGGGGGTGAAAAAGAACCAAAATGGTGCAGGCACCATGTGGGGATTCAGAGTCACGTGACCAACTGTGTAAGAAAAGGAGTGATCATCTCTCCGAACTGACAGTTTCGGACAGTCACTCAGTTTCTTTGTGACTGGCCAATCACAAAGCATGAGCCATTAGACATTCAGTTTTAAAAAAGGTTTAGAAATCTGAAAATAGCATATTTGCTGTTTTATGAGCCCTAATGCAAGCCAGGTTAAAATCCCTAGAATGAAACGACAGGTTTTCTTCCTTTTATACTAATGTTAAAGGCTCTGTGTCTGCACCCTGATCCTCTATCTCTTGGGTTCATTTCCCAGAAAAGAGATCACTCGGGATAAACTCTTTACATAACATTTCATAACATATGTATTAAATAGCCAGGAGACATGACAACAGATTTTGATAGAAATTGTAATCCTACTCAGATCAGAGAAATTGCTTAGGGTTACAGAATGGCAGCTGTTCTCCTCTGGGCTCACCTCTCTGAGGACGGGTGGCTCATGGCTCTCTGCTGAGGTACGGTCCAGTCAGCGGCCCAGCAGTCGTCACTTACTATCTCCCCCCACCCCCCGAAAAAAAAAGTGTCCTCCTTTTCAAAAACCCAAATCTGGTAACCCTAGATATGCCAGCAATAGCTTAGCAACAAAATAATACTTACAGCTTGCGGTTGTGATGGCCTTACAGTCAGAACAGCCCCTCGTAGACAAAAACAATACATGCATGTTGAGTCTTCGGATCCTTGGGAAGAGTGTGAAAAATGTCCCCTTTCTCCGTGCAGCCTGGATCACTGCATTTACGTCTGTGGTTCTGGCTCATTTTCAATAGAGAAACTGCATGCTTTGTAATTTTTGTAGAAGTAAACCCAGCTGGAGGCTAAATGGCTAAACTGGTGTCTTACATCTTCCTCTATTCATGTTCCTGGGCCATTAAACCAGTGGGCTGGTCTGAATGTCAATTTCCAGGCGTGACAAAAGTACAGACCAGAATCCAATAAGGCAACATTCCTGAATTGACGTCGACTCTGGGCTTCATTTGGATTTGCTTGTTTAAGTTTAGAACTGAGATTTGCAGAGAAAGGAGGTGTCGATGGGGTTTGAACTTCTCTGTACGTCCATTTCCCCCACTAAACTATCATTATTCATCTATGATAATGGAAACTCGGTTTTGCATTCTATG